ATCTAGCCACAATTTGAGCTCGATTTAATGCGGTCCAAGTTATCGATGGGCTGGACCATCGAGCGACAAATGATCCAAGCCCATTACCATCTATGGACCTATCTTGTATAGAGAAGTAGGTCGACAAACAATGACACGAAAATGTCCAATGTGGTATAGTCAAAGTGCCTAACTAAATGGACTAGTACTCCACTAAAAGTCGACTTAATTATTCTTAACCGGTTGAAACGTTAGAACTTTGAATTCTTCGTGCAATTGTCCTATCACGTGCCGTCCCAGTGCACATCCCACTTCCGTTACAAATTCTCCTCTTATTTATACCCCTGCCCTAATACTCTTGGATCTCAATCCCCTTCTCATTCTCGTTCTTGTCGAAATCCAACGATGGCAGCAATTCAGGCCTCGAAATCTTCGACCCCATTGCTCAAAGATGAACTAGACATAGTGATTCCGACCATCAGAAACCTGGATTTCCTCGAAATGTGGAGACCCTTTTTCCAGCCCTACCATCTGATCATTGTTCAAGATGGAGATCCATCGAAAACAATCAACGTCCCAGAGGGTTTTGATTATGAACTCTACAATCGAAATGATATAAACAAGATTCTGGGTCCTAAGGCTTCGTGTATTTCATTTAAGGATTCGGCTTGCCGATGCTTTGGCTATATGGTGTCGAAGAAGAAGTATATCTTCACCATTGATGATGATTGCTTTGTAAGATCCAAAACCCGGTTTTTACTTTTGTTTTTGGGCTTTAAAATTTGATCTTGATCTGTTGAATTATAGTATCAGACACTGAATTTTGTTTGTGTGGGAAGACTGGATTTTGATAAGTGGATTTATATGACAATTACTGTATGATTTTGTTCTTGCAATGACAAGATCTGTTTTTTTCAATCAAAATCTTTTGTTTTTTAAGTGTTTGCTTATGATATTACTTTGATGATTGATCTATGGTTAATATCAGTGAATCATTATGAAGTAGCTCTAATATGGGACCATTCTTCTAATGGCGGAGCGAACTATGTGAATTTTTTTATGCTCGCTTGTGATTTTTGTTTTTGAATATTTGGTTAAAAGATTAGATTTTGATCTATGGCTAAAACGAACGAACAACTATGCAGTAGTTCTAACATGGATCAATTCAGCTAAGGGCAGAGTGAATTATGTGAAGTTTTGATGCTTGTCCAAGGTTGTTTTGTTTTGATTCTGAAATGCACAATTAAGATTCAGTTTCTTAAATGCAGGGGAGGAGCCGGGGGCAAATCTCACAAAATTTTAATTAATTGTGGGAGCAAAATTGAAAATTATGAGGAAGTTTTTTGAAAATCTTGTGTAAAATCTTGAAAAATCTATTACAAAATCTTAGACTTCGATTTTTTTCTTCTTCTTTTTTTTTTTTNACGGGTTTAGGAGGAACTAAAACTAGATCAGGTTTAATGTGTGAATCGAATGGTCATCAAAGTATAATGTAATTTATTTATTTTTTTTTTGTCAAATTGCAAAGAGGCTGCTTCGAACCTTGGCCTCCTCAAAATTTCGTAAAACCTCATCATTTTGAAATTTGATAATTTTTGTTTATATTGTGAGGCAAATATATATTTCAATTTACAAAGTACAACGTAAAATTCCTTTTTTCAATTTGCAAAGAGGATGATTCAACTTGGGCTTCCTACGTGAAATTATATATATAGTATTTTAATTAAAATTATGATTTAACAGTGACCTACCGTTTCAACTACCGATTCACCCGTTAAACCATCGACTGGGTGACTTAATGATTTTTCCTAGTCGACCACTGGGTTGGGGGCTAATAATTGTTTATCAAACAACTATAGTTGCTTTGTTGTTAGAAAAAAAATTAAAATTTTCAAATTAGTATAAATTGTGTTGGGTAATTGCCTCAAAAGTCAAAGTTAGAGGACTTCTATTGTAAACATAGAAGGTAGTTATTGTATGGAAGACTTCTAATTAAAGTTGAAAGCAGAATCCTTGCAGAATTTTGTCTCCAATTTACAGCAGGTTTTGGAATCTTGCACATGAATGATTTTTTTTTTTTTTTTTTTGAGTTAAAGGAGTCTCAATTGAGTTTAAATTAAACTTTTCTACTTGGTTATTAATCCTATAAATAGTTGATGTATTTCATTATTTTGAGTGTGGCCAGAGAGTTGATATGAGGAAAAAAAAATATTGTGAGCCTAGTATTTTGAGACTTTTGTATATTGGGTAGAAAAGTAGGTGTAGTAAAGTTTGGGTTTATTTTTTTTTATTTGTAATACTTTGGGATTGGGTTGGTGAGTGAAATTTTATATGATTTCTCACAATTTTTCATATAGTGAAAAGTTTTGACAATCCGTTTAATTCGTGTGTTATATTCTTTATTTTTCTTGTTTGCCAATATTCTTTTGAACAACAAAAGATCCTACGAATAAATAGAAATAAAGGGAATTGACGTGAAATTTCCCAACAAATTGCACATAATTGTTAAAAAAAATTTCCAATTTCATGACTTTAAAATAAATAAATAAATAAATAATCAGCCCAGCTCGACTCGATAAAGGCACGAACCAAAAGCCTAAGCCAAGCCTTGATTTTTTTGATGGAGTTTTGGCTTGCCTTAGCTCGGGTGAAAAAAGCTTGAGTTATTTTATTTTCCCGAGCCTTGATCAAGTTGTGACCTTCAGTTCACGAGCTAGTTCGGCTCAACTCAACTCGTTTACATTCCTATTTATACGATAAAGCAAGTCACTTGGCACCCCCAGGGCTCAAACATGTCAATAATCCATGAGCAGATCAATTGAAACCCTTTAATGGTTTTTGTTAGACCAACATATTTTCATGGAGAATCGAAAACCAGTGGATAACCTGAAAAATATGCATCCATGAAAATTAGGTTATTGAATCCCTGAACGGCCATCCAGCTACCTATAACGCTAGTCATTACTCCCACTGGGGCTAGGAAGTAAGCCCCTGTTTGGCCCTATTATATCAAATTTTAATGAGTGGAATATTATTTTTTTGAAGGAGTGATTGAAAAAAAAGATTTTTTTTTCCGATTTACGTGTAATATTATTTTATAGAAGATTGTGTTTGAAAATAAAAGAGACAAAAATAAAAATTAAATTAATGGGGCCGAACTGGGGCTAAATAAGACATACGCCGTCACTTCAGCATTTGATAAAACTTAAAAGAGAAAATGCCCATTTTAGAATAAGCCTAACTTAGACAATATTAAATCGCCCATATTCTTCATTTGTTCATAAGTTTGGAGCTTCATTGTAGAAACCAAATTCCATATCAACCTCACGTAAACAAATTCCCTCTTCTTTTTTTTTTTCTTTTTTTTTTTTTTTAGGATCAGCGCAACCAGCCCAAACACGAAGAACTCAGCTTATGAACATTGCTATCCATCAGCAAATTAAAAGACAAAATTGAGCTTAACAAAGAAACAATATAACAATATCGTTTAAAAATAGTATCGTATCAAAATAGCGAAATAAACAATTATAATACGATCGTCCTATGAATCCTTTACCAGACCTATAATCTGCTTAAGGAATTTCTATTTTGTAGCTAATTTTAACATCCCTAACATTGATTTTCAAAGTGGCCGAGTCAATGAGTGTAGTCATACTTAACAGTTAATATGTCTGCCATGTACTTAGCAATAATCCAATATAAGGCCTTCAATGATAGACTGCAGTTTCTCTAACTCCATCTCCATCACCGTTTTCTCTTGCTCAAGCCTTCAATTATTTGATTATGTAATTTTTTGAGTCTTTCATTCAGCTTGCATCGCGGCCACTGTAGTTTTCTTGGCATAACTCATCCCATATCTGGCTGAGAATTTTAAAAACAAATTGCTATCATCCAAATGCTTATAACAAGTAGCCATGAGTCAAGTCAAGCAGCGAGCATGCTTATAGATGTTACGAGCCTTGCCGTTTTTGCTGGTTGATTTGAGTTCATCAGTGTTGGAATTGGCTAAAAAATAACGAAAATTGGTTTAAGTGTAAAAGTGGAAAATAAAAAGTTGTGACTTCATGTCAATTTCGACCAAATATTCGGACTGATCTGATGGTCAAATTATAAAAGTAAATAGACCAACTTATTCTACTTATTGATTAGATCGTAGTGATATATTTGAAATCTCAAAATCAATTCTAGATGAATGAGAAATTGCGGTCCAAAGTAGGAAGAAATGAAGTGTTGCAACTTTTCGAAAGGATGTAAGTTTTGGCCAAGTGTTGCAACTTTTTGAAATGATGCATGTTTTGGCTCACATTACTTCATTTGCAATTTTTCTACATCTATAAATAGGACTCTGTGGACATAATTTTAGGTACACCAATTACATTGAGCACTCATTCTCTTCTTACAATTCTCTCATTTATATTTCTATAGCATTTTCATGCATTTCTTTTGTAGAGGGAAAATTCTGTCAAAAGTTCACCGATTTTTTGTGGTTTGAAGTGCTGCTACCATAAGTTGTGAATCCATTGTATCTTGGAAGACAAGTGTCATTCACCGTGAGCACCGTAGCGGGGCAATTTGTCTTAAAAGAGATAACGTCTTGCCTTGGATTATTCTCTATTTTCTACTCCTTTTTAATTCTTGTTTTGCGTAATCATTTATCACATTTATATATACTGAAACCCTATCCAAATTTTCGTTCATATAAATTGTGCTTTGATCACGCTCCTATAGGTTAAAACTGGTCGAACAAATATATCAAAAACCAACCTTTACATAGCTTGTTTCTATAAGTTTTCTCCAATAAATTTAAGACAAATGTTTGTGTCTTTGTGGTTGGTTGTGGACAAATCATTCCTTTGTTTGAATAGTGTTTCGTGTACTATTCCTTCACTGATATTATCATCATTTTGTTGAACTTCTGTTTGTGTAATAGAAATCACTACCATCGGGACTTCGTCAAGTCAAAATGGTACCATTACTGTTGCATAATACTACTATCTCACATGGGGAAAAGCCGGAAAAAGTTTGCATGAGTGGACATCAAGAGTTGGTAACAAAAGATGTTGTTTTATCTCACAACTTTTAATTTGGCTAAGTTTTTAAAGGAAACTGCACCGGCTATACAAGAAGGGAAAAATAATCGTGAATCGATTATTGCTTTGAATGCATGGAAATACTCGGACTTCCTATGCAAGAACTATATCCTAAACAGATTGTATAATATACTATATGGGGTGTATAGTTCAAAGGAATCAGCCAAGAAATTATGAGATTCTTTGGAGACAAAGTATAAGACCAAAGATGTCGAAACAAAGAAGTTCATTGTCGGCAAATTTTTGGACTACACGATGATGGATTCCAAAATCGTGATTAGTCAAGTGCAAGAGATTCAAGTCTTGTTATATGATATCCATGCTGAAAAAATGGAATTGAGTGAATCATTTCAAGTGCCTGCCATTATTGAGAAACTCCCTCCTATGTGGAGAGATTTCAAAAATTACCTCAAGCACAAGCGCAAAGAAATGAACTTGGAAAAATTGATTGTGCGTTTGAGGATTGAAGAGGACAATCGAAAAATCGAACGAAGGCCAGTAGATTAACATGGTACAAACTTTGTTGAGATGGAACCAAAGGCAACAAATAAGAAACGAAAGGCTCCTAATTATACACCACGAAGAGATAATTCCAAGAAAGCTAAGAAGTTCAAAGAGAATTGTTACAACTGTGGCAAGGCTGGACATCATTCAAGTAAATGTCGAAAGTCAAAGAAGAATGCTCAAGTCCACATTGTTTCAAATAACACTCTATCCGACGGGCTGCAAGAAATGAGTTTATCTACAGTAGTGTCCGAATGCAACATGATTGAAAATACTAGAGAATTGTGG